TATTTGTTAGATCATTGAATCCAGTATCTCAGCATATTAGAAAAGTTTGAGGAAGTAGAAAAGTTTAATTCATAGTGTTGTACACTACAATCCTGCAAACATCTATGCAAGAATAGTCCAAATGCCCTCAATAAAAGATGTTTGTAGGATGAGATCAAGTTGCAGGAGACAGTGCTGACAGGACATCCATCATTTCTTAATGAATACTTTGTTGAACGGCTTTGTCTGCCACTACATAACATCAGGGAAGCCAGCAGAGAAACTGCTCAGTGTGAATCCTGAATACCAGAATCAGAATGTACTGTTTGTGATAAGAAGGCATATTGCATATAAACAGAATAGCAAAAATTAAGCTCTTACCTCACAGCACAGCACATGAATATTTTTTTGTTTTAAAGCCCTTAGTTGTTGTTTTCAGAGTCTATTATGTAAGCAGTTAAAAAAACAAACAAAAAATTAAGTAGAACTACTATACTTTGGAATTCTATGGTTGTCTCTCAGGTAGTAGCTGTTAAATATTGCCATAGATGATGGAGGCAGAAAATTAAACACAAAAATGTAATTTCCTATTAGGGAATTCCTACATTTAGATAAAAGGAAACACTTCCTCTTTCCTGAAATAGCGAAATATTGTATGTTTTCTAGTCTCATGATCTCATTGCATGGTTCTTTCCTCACCAACAAGTTTCAGAAATAAAGTTTTGTAGGATTGAATGAAAAAATGCCCAAAAGCTTTTGCCTACTTCTTAGAATGATGATATATATCAAAGGAATACTGAAAACAGTAAGTAGCTGTTATCCACTTAGCAAACTTCATCACAGTTTTCAAAAAGAAAAACATAACACAATCATGTTAACATCAAACAAATATTTTTGTTAGAAAATGTTATGGAATTAATTGAAAATTTGCATCTCCAGATATAATGCAGTATGGTGTACTGATATGACAGAATTCCATTGGCTTCAGATAAAATAATGGATTACATCATTGATTAAGGGTTTGAACTGATACCATATGTTTGCATCATATCAATTACAGCACTTTAAATCATTATGTATCTTCACTGGTTTTACTGGCCAAGAATTACTGTAATATGAAACTAAGTATAAGAAAACAATCTTAGGAGATTTTCACTACATGCAGTTGAAAGATATAATTCCTTATTCCTTCTTGCTGTGCCTACAATACTTGAGTACAATATACATGTGGACTGTCTGCCTTAAGCTTTGATGGTATAGGACTTTTCAATAACAGTGAACACTTAACATTCAACTTTTTGCATTCCTGTTCATCATCCTATCTTGGGAGCTAATACTTTGAGATACGAAGTGCCCTCGGCTGTTAGGAGAACAAGAATTGAGGACTCTTGGTCTGATAGGAACAACTCTGAATGAAATTTAGTGTTCTGCAGTACTGTCAGTTTATGTGTGATACACCAGACATCATACAATATATGTGTGGTTAGAGTTATCCCTTTTTGACCCTGCCTCCTGATTAAATGAGAGGCAAGTAAATTAATTTTTAGAGGACAAATTAACCTAGAGCAACTGTACTGTCATTTTTGATGTGCATGTAAATAGAGCTTGAAACTGGCAAAGTCATCTTGCTACAAAATTACCCTTATTGGCAGTGTAGAATGTTAATTAATCCATAGGAATCTTTGTGCAGAAATAAACCCAAACAGCTGAGATGTCTTGTTATCAGTACGGTATAGCTTTCTGCTCTGAACGTCTATTTGAAAAAAAAAAAAATAATAAGGGATCATTTTAGTTTCTGAAGTACAAATATTCTAGTGTAGGGAATGTGTGATTACTTTTCTGTACATTTCAGAATTGTGTATTAAACTTTATATAAAATGGTTTGCTTTAGACTTTGTTCTGAAATGTTTGCCATAGTTGTATATGCCTGTTTATGGCAGAAATAGGTTTTGCTTAGACTTTTGTGTGTGCATGTTTTACATGGAAATTTTTGTAGCACAATACAAATACATCTTAGAAATTTAATCATGCTGTGCAGTTTGACTGCACAGAACTAAATCTTTCTCATTAAGAGAACAGTTGCAAAGGAATGCACTGGCACTAAATTTGCCATTTAATGGCTGCAGTATACTAACAGAATGCATCCTATCAAATGTGGTGTTAGTGGGTCCTTCAAAGTAATTAAGAATATCTTTTAATCAGTGTGAAAATCAAAAGTTGGTTGTTTACACATCTAGACAGAGAGCTCAGACAAGTTTTATAAAGCTCGTGTTACTCAAGAGGAGTTACATCCTGTGTTCAGTAGAGAAATGGAATTTGTTACGCACTTTTAGTGCCATTCAGCATCAGTTACAGCAAGGAAGTTTACAGGTAAAATTTTGTTTAACATTAGAAGTAATTAAAGAAGCATTGTCATACTCTCTGATAATAAAATCAATTTATGGCAGTTGTTCTCTACAGAAATTTAAAGTGTAATCCAGCAATGTGGGCTTGCAGACCTGCAGAATCAGAACATTAAAAAGCTGAGGTCACAGCTTTTAGAAATAATCACTACCTAATACTGACATTTATTTCCCAGGTATTCCTAAATTCACAGCAGGAGTCATGTTCAGAGAAGATGATGATTCAAACAGAAGTGTCAATATTAAACTTTTCTGTTATAGAATCTCAAACATTCAGATGCCTCAAAAGTATAGGCACTGTAATCAGAACCCAAGCACAAGCTGCTGAACTTATTTTCAAGGCAGAGAAACTGCAATTACATTGAACTGGAACAGCATTATGTAATCAAAACACAGAAAAGCTCACTAATGTAAACAATTACTATTTGGATGGCATCTTAAGTGTATTATAAACTTAAAGCAAACACTATTAAAACTGGAAAAAAAATCTTCCACTTATCTCTAGTAAATGTTCTGTTGAAACTCTTCACATTGTGGTTTACGAAATCACCTTTCGGTGACTTCTAGACCATACTCCAGAAGGTATTTCATGTGAGATCTGTGGAATTGAGTTACATATAGTATATACATGGCCAATAAAGAGCATCCATTAAAATGGGAAATAATCTCAAATATTCCTTTTATACCAGTTTGCTAGGAAGAAAGTGCAAAAAAGAGACACCTACATCATTCTGTAGTGTCCAATACTGAATATAAAGTGTTTTTAAGTTAAAAGTGCATAAATGTATTTGTAGAAGTCTAGCCAAAAAAAAGCCATTCTAGCTATGAGATCAAATTCTCAAAAAAAAAGCAGGGAATGGTTAATAACTATATAATCACACTATTTTTATAAAAATATACAGCTCAGATATTCAAAAGACAGCCTAAAATAAATTATAATAATATAAAAATTTAAATAGGAACCAAAGCATTGCCATTTATATTGCCAAAGGAGGCACTTTGTATTTTAAAATATAGGAAATTAAGTCCCCAGAAGTGTTATCCATACTTTTTTAAAATTAAGGATGTAGATATTTTCAAAGCTGTTTTTGATGTTTAACAGTACAGATTTGTTTTTGTTGTTTGAGAAATTTGTAGTAAGTAATAGCACAGGCTTTTTTTCCAGATAGGATTTTCTTCACAGTACGGCTTGCAGTAGAAATAACGCTAACCCTAGTAGGTGTTTCTCTTCTTATTTTCATAGTCATAATTATGTCTTAGCATCTCATTTTGTGAAAAGAAGAAGATAAACACCTGTCTCTGGGGCCCTCTTCATGTAAGCACTACTTTACTAAATGCAAATTATGGCAATCAGGGCGTCAGTTTATGTATTGCCTTTCTAGAAGAAACCATGATGCCTTTGTATTTGCTGTTTGCACCCCTGAAATCAATTCCATATGTTTGAATGCCATATGTTTTGCACATTGTACTGTATATATGTAATGCATACTGTATTTTTATATGTGTACTACATTTATCAAATATTTTGTACATAGTGGCAATATTGTAGCTACTGAGGAAATGTTTGATATTTCAGCATTTTTGCTAAGTGTCTCAAATAAAAAAGGAAAACTGTTCATTTGTCCATGGTTACTACTTTAAAGTGAATATATCATTCTGACTTCTGTGAGTCTGAAACATTTGGCCTATGTTCTAAGTACCTTTCCCACAAAAAGGAGTAAGAATGAACCTGCACTTAGACAAACCCCAAAAGAACATGGTTTGTCTTCAAAAATCAGAGACAAATTCTGTAAGAACAGAGACTTCCTGAACTCTCAGAGTTTAGGTTTGGACTTTCATTTTTTTTTGCAATTTTTTAATATAGTCATTTAGTCATAGAATGGCCTGGGTTGGAAGGGACCTTAAAGCTCATCTTGTTCCCTGCAATGGGCAAGGACACCTTCCACTATCCCAGGTTGCTCCAAGCCCTGTCCTACCTGTCCTTAGACACTGCCAGGGATTGGGGCAACCACAGCTGCTCTGGATGACTCACTCCAGTATCTCAGCACCACAGTAAAGAACTTCCTCCTAATACCCAACCTAAATCTACTCTCTTTCCATTTGAGTCCATTCCCCTTTGTCCTCTGACTACAAAGCTCTTATAATGTACTTTAATATATGACTTTCCCAAATTCTTCCAAGGTTTTCAAGATGTGTTTGGTTGTGAGATTTTGTATTTCAATTTGTATTCTGCTCAGCTTCTAGAACACCTGATTGCATTTTTTTCAGAAGAATGAGCCATGAGCTGTTTGCACAAGTTTCTTTTAAGGATGAAGCTGTTTCATTTAAATATTTAGTGTTATACTTACCCTCGTGAAGGCAGGCCTGTACTTAATCACCCACCCTTTCCTGTCTATTCTACACTGATGCCATCAGAACTTGGCTAAATATTAAAAACCCTGTAAAGTAGTAAATAGTAATTGAGTAAACGTAATAAATTTAAAATTACTAATAATTACTTCAAATTTCATAAAATACCTTTTCTCTATGAACTTTAATCATTGTAAAAGTTTGTAGGCTATATATGCCACAAACTTACATTCAGATATCACACACCAAACACAAACATTACAAAACAAGTGCAGCACTTTTTGATCATATATTTGTACATTACATTTAAATTACAACTGGAGTATAAGAGAGATGAAGCATTTGGTTTGGTGCCAACTGGCAATCTGGGGGGTTGACTGTTTTACAGTGACAAAGAATACAAACACATAACCGTCCCTTAGAAGCCGCCTTCATGTTACTATTTGATGTAGACACAAAACAAGGCTTGATAAAACTTGAGATTTTGCTGAATGAACTTTTTCCACAGGCTACACCCTGATTTCCAAGAAAACCTCAGTTTATTCAAACATGTTCTACAGATGGTCATCAGCAGATTTGTCTTTACTGTGTACCACGTTTAATGCCATTTGCTCCTGCTTACTGGCTTGTTTATTGTACAGGTGTTGCTAGAGGGACGTATTTCTTAGAGCATTTCTACTGTCTCAAGAAGCAGATTTTTCTTTGATGGCAAAGAAGTCACACAGGTTTCCCCACACCCCAAGGTATAGTCTGCAACCTTACCAAGATATTCCTAATGGAAAATCAAAGTAACAAATTAGAGCTTCTGAGAGCCAACAGTCAGGGCTTGAGGTTTTTTTGCTTCAAATGTTTATCCATAAACGTAGCAAGTAATTGAGATAAATACTTCCCTTCCTGTAGAAAAATTACCTGAAGTTGAGTCTCCAGTCTTCTCTGCAGAAAAAGGACTGCTGGGCTACTCTGCCATCTACTGCATCACTCTTGAACCTCTCCAAGACAAGTACTGAATTAGAATTTAAATTAGTGAACAGAAACATTCTTTCTTACAGCTAAAACAAAGTCAAACAAGTAACTGCAACTGAGGAGCATTCTAGCTCCTCAGCATCCTATAGCAAGTCTTTATAAAACTTATTTGCACCAAATCTACATAAATAGGATTGTTCCCCTGTATTTCAGAAGAGTCAGGGAATGTGTTGAAAGGCCTGGTTTTGAACATGAAAACAGACACCAAAACCTCTCCTAAAGCAACATCTCCATCTCATATGTGTGAGGCTAAGGCAAGAAAGAAAAAAATGACTGCTGATAATTTCTCCATCCAACAAAATCTCTGACAGTATCTTTTCAGCAAGAGAGTGCTCTAAGACATCCCTTTTGAAAAGCCATGTTGCATTTAAAAGAAGACTGTGTCACAAGAGAACAGCCCTTAATGCACCAACGATTCAGCATGGAGGAAGGGCTTTGACACTGAGCTCAAACAACGGTAAGGGCCAGCATAAAAGACACTTCCAAATAAAAGTATCCAGACACCAAAAGGGCGATTACACTTTTTAAAATCAAGTTAACTTTTTTAACTATAAAAACAATTGTGATAAATCAGCTCACCATTAAACAGCACTTTGTTTAGACAGAAACAGTTTCTCCAGACACAGTACAGAAGTTAGGCTCAGAGAGCAGACAATTTTTTTAAACAAAATCAAGTATTTCCTCAATCTAATTAGAAGATCTTTACGAATTCAAATTGAAGTTTCCATCACCCCACACAGTTAAGGAAAAACTTGATCAATAGAAGTTGATTTACTATTAAATAGTACTCCTAATGCCAAGCAAATACATTTATTAAAAGTATTAAATTTATTAAAATTTAGTGTATTTGAAGACATAAAACCCACATGAATTCCACCAACAGTTCAAACAGCCCTCACACCACAAAATTACCTCTCAGCTCACAAGGATCCAAAAAACTCAGTAAACACAGATGCGACCTGCACAGGGACTGTGAAGACAAGTTACAACTGGCAAGTATGGCACATAAAAGAGCATATTTTGTAATAAGCAAGTAGGCCAGAAATGGCATATCATCAATCAGATATGACTGATTAAAACTGAACTCCTTCCTGCTGCCAGCTAAGAGTAACTCCTTCAGCCAGGGAAGTGGCTCTCTGAGGCCACCCCCTTCATAAACATGACAAGTGAGAATTGAGGGAGGCAGCTTCCACTCATACACACCATCACACTTTAAAATACTGCAGTGATTACACTGACAAGACAAAAGCAGAATACAACAGTGCTATTCTCACTTTCCAGCTTTCCATAGTCCAGATGAGGGCATATGATGAACAAGAGTAGCAGATAAGTTCCAGCAAGCATTTAGATTAGGCAGGCCGTAAGTTATGGCCAGAGAGACTAGAAAAGCAGGTTTTTGGGGCAGATTTTCCAAGGTAGCAGCAAATACACTTAACAAAGGCTGACTATCCAGTAAGGTAATTTAAATTAAGCACTTTTCATTGCAGGTCAAGCTAATTCAAATCACTGTTTGTTTAAACGCAGTCATAGAGTTATTATAGATAAACTAAAAAATTATAACTTTTCAAGAACTAAAATTTTTTCATACAGTCAAAGCATCAAGCATGATTTTCCATAACAAGAGCTCAAAGAACATCCCAAAAGGATACTTAAGTATTTCCCTGCTCACTGCAGGGTGGTTCAACTAGAGAACCTTTGAAGGTCTCTTCCAAGCCAAGCTATTTTGGTTGTATATCAGCCTTTTAATGCACTTGCATTACAGCACTTCCAAATCAGTAACTCTTATCTCAACCTTTACAATGGTACCACTGTAATATGTTCACATGCTTCTTCCACAAGGAAACCAAAACCACACCAAAAGGAATATAAAACTTGGATATCAAGCAACAGTTTTGTGGAGAATTTAAACAGACATCCACAACGAACATTAAATGAAAAATAAAAGCTTTGTTTTCAGGTCACACTCGTAACAATCTAGGAGACCCAGTCTAGAAAATAGCTAGAAAGCATATTTTCTGCACTTCACAACACTGAGTTTTTTGAGGGAACAGCTACCAGGCAGCAAGTGTTTTAATCTAGCATTTACCATTTAATTATCCCAACGTTTTTGCATTCCTGCTTCTCTTCTCGGAGGAGGAAAGTTTTAATCCTGGCCGGTGTGAAACAGCCCCTCGAGTGCTATCTCCGGGCACCGCACCCTCACAGCCCCGGGGCCGACTCGGACGGAGGACGCTGCCTTCAGAACGCCTCCACATCCGGAGGGGAGGTTCCTGGCAGCTCCAAGAGCGGGAGACAGAGGGAGACGAAGGGAGAGGGAGAGCAAGAGCGAGACCGAGAGCGGGAGCGGGTGTGGCCCCGATCCCTCTCTCCCTTTCCGCCCCCTCAGCTCCCGCCGCGCCTCAGCGCCTCAGGGTCGCGCGCTCCCGGCAGGTGGCGGCGCAGGCGCGCGCGAGGGCGGGGTGTGGGNGGGGCGCCGGGCCCGCCGCGCCCCGCGGGGAAGGGGCGGTTCGCCGCCGTGCCGGCACCCTCGGGAGCTACAGGTGTCCGCTCCCCGCGGGGTCCGCTCCCCGCGGGATCCGCTCCCCACGGGCTCCGACCGCCGGTCCCGTCCCGCCGCCTCCGCGTGGCTTCTGCGGCGACTTTGGCCAGGCACAAATAACTACAAATGCCCGTGCGGAGGGGTGCCGATACGCACCGTCTGATCAGCTCGTGTGAAAGCATAGCCCGAAAAATCTCCTAAATCATCACAGCCATAAATAAGTCAGTTAAAATGTATGGTCTGTAGAAAGAGGAATTATTTAAACATTTCTACTTAGCCAGAATTTCCATCAACTTCTCTGCGTTTTCCTTTCAGGATGTATTTAGTGATTATAAAGCATTTCAGCTAGGACAGCATTCTTCGGCTCTGCATTTTGATTATCAACAGCAGAATGAATGTAAGAGTGGCTTTTCAAGGACAATAATTATTTTAACGTAACTGACAGCATTAACCTACTTCAGCCACCCAAGTGTAAACTATAATGCTTTTAAACGTGGATTTTATTTAGAAGCTCTGTTTAAATTGTAAAGTGAAGATTTAGAATATATGTTGATTTTGTCCGTGAATTTCTACTTTTCCTCTTATCTTTGAAAGAGGATCTTACAAAACATAATATTGAGGGTAGTAAGATGACGTAGAGCTGAATACTTGATACTATCATTGCTAGTAAGAAGAGACCTATTTTCAAGTAAAGTGAAAATAATTTCTAGTTTTTTGTACAAATAGCAAATTTAGAATAATGACAGACATTTCTCTATAATGTGTCCACTTTAGTCTGAAATACAGTGAAACATAATTAATAACTTGTTACATACTTTGAGAAGAAATCTTAATAGGTATTTTGAGTGCTGGGTCTAATAACTGTTACTCTGTGTCATTTCATAGACACTTAGAAAAAGTACTCCTTACCTGCTTGATAAATAGATCTATAATATTAACATTATAGCTAAAATATTCATTAAAAAAGTTAATATCTGTTAGCAATTCCTGCTGTCCAGAAAGTGGAGGGTGTATTGCAATTGGGCTATAATGTTCTCTTTTGATTAATCTGAAAACTACCCACTCTAGAAGCAATGTCTCAGTTGATTTGGCATATCTTACAAAGATACTTTACTTACAAATTGAATCTTGGAAGGCTGTGGTTCCAGAGTCGGGGTTTTGGGGGCGAGATGAGCTTATGTTTTATCCAACTGGCCCACAAAGTCCCGCTTTTGGTGGTCACTTTGTTCTGCAAAAGAAAACAGCACATTATGGCTCTTACGTTGGACAGTAAACTTAGTAGTAAACTACTGCTGCAGGCTATTATACACTTTAAATAAATAATCATGTTCTAACTTTAATGTTGTCTTAAGCAATAAAATGTGGATAGAAAATACAATAATTTTGAAAGTTAAACATAAAAGTTTTCTAACTGTTGGTGGTGTTCTTCTCTTAAAAAGCCAGCAAAAGCTGAAGAAAAAGTCACCTTTCAAAGTGTGGTACTGAAATATTGGTGAATTGGGAGAAAAGATGATCCCAAGAAAAGAGAGGCTTTCTAAACCTTAAAAAAATCTTTTAAACGCTGGTGGCATTTGTATTGTCGATCCCTGCCTCATTTTTTTTTTTGCTCAGGATGTATTCAGTTATAATGTGTCTCTTGAACAAGCTGCTACTTCATGTGTGTCTGTGTGTGTCTACCTGTGTACAGTCTGTATCTATGATTCAATTTAAAGACTGCTAATTTTTGAACTGGTAAAAGTTGTGGAATATATTATTGTGAGTAAGGCAGTGTAAACCTAAGCTTGGTAGAGCTGTTTAAGTTCACGTTATTATTTACATTTTGGTATCAATATAATAAATAATTTAAGTATTATATTTACTTAAAAGTTACACATCTGTACTTTCCTCATGGGATTCTTGAAATTTTTGAAAATGCTGGTAGAAGCACTGAACTTTCTCGTGGTTCCAGATATACTGCATAGATATTTAACACTGATGAACACATGATACACAATGTAATTTATACAATGTTTCACATATACAGCATATTCACACAACATATATGCAGGAGCATCCTCTCATTTGGTGTAAATGTGTCTGTCATAGTTTTGACATTTAATGCCAGCTAATCACCTGTGTAAGCTACACATAAACATCCAGACATTCACAATGTGGTCACATTGTCATTACAGTCCAGTTAATTTTAAGTGTTGACCTACACAGACTGAATCAATTTGAGTATTTCAAAAAGGCCTAGAAATTCAGCTGAAATGAGACTGACACACTGTTAAAGCAAAGTTGTTGGCATGTGATTTATCATGACTAGATGCAGGATCTGTACATTTATGCAAATGAATATCAAGATGAATTATCAAGATTTTTCTATAGAATTCTCACATTTTACATTTCATAGCAATATAATTGCAACACAAGTGAAATAGGATGTATCCAAGCCTCGGTGCAACAAATTCCTCACTTGTTTAAGACTGAAATCTGATTTGGAGGAGCTTAGGTCAGAACTGTGGTGCTAATATGCTTTTTAGCTACTATTTTCCATGAAATAATACTGTTCAGAAGCAGCATTTATGAAAGGTTAAATTTTTATAAGCCAATTAAGTTAAAAATTTAACTATAGATTTTTTTTTATTTTTGAATTTTACTAGAGTATATTAGTACTTAGTTTGTTAATACATTCCAGACCTGTCCAATCTTCCTAGTTGTCAGATTTGGATTGGTTTAATTCCTGTGGTCTCTTCTCTAGTATTCTGAGAATGCAAGAGCAGAGAATCAGACATAAGACAGTGAAATCAGTGTGAGGATCTTGCTTTAAGGGAAAAGAGAAGCACTTATATCCAAACAGCAGCAAAGATCAGCCCTGCTCTGCTGAAATACCACAGTTGCTTCTTACCAACTGTTACTTTAGAGCTCTTAAATTAAAACATAATTTTGTAGAGCTACTTCCAGTAAGATGTGCTTTATGTATCACACTTTGTTAATCAGCTACTTTTAGATTATTTTTTAGAATAGATTCTATGTGGCTCTCTACTTAAGATTTGCACTTGCATTGCTTTTAGCATCAATAACCTAGCTATAGAATTAATACACTATTTAAATGATTAATGAGCAGTGTTAAAGAACACAGTTGCACTTCTGTAGGCCTTCCTCATACAATATTTTTTTCCCCATCAATAAGCTTACAGAAAGAGCTCCTGTTTGTCTCTGGTGGGCAGTAGAACAGACAATTTGCTGCTGCTATAGATAGCATGCATATATTTTAAACTTTAAATGTATGTTCATTTTGTATGTGTTACTTAAATTAATGATGATTAGACAAAACAGTGATAGATTTCCTAAACATCTGTGTTATAAAAATTTGATCTCTTTCCCTTGCACTGGTTTTCCCACCAGGTTTGCGTGCAGCTTCGGGTGCTGGCCTCAGAGCTGAGAGTCCTGAAGTGCACTGCGTATCCAGAGCATTAATAATTAAATACCTGGGATCAGTCTGTCTTGCTATTTGATATGAAAAAAGAAATTTACAGAAGATAAAAATTAGATGGTATGTTTGTAATAAAATTAATTTTTCTTCAGATAAAAATTGTCATTAATTATTGAAAAAATAATATTTGGAAATATCAACCTCAATTATTTATTGCATTTATCATTTATAAAGTTGAAAGTCCTACTAGCTATCTTTCTATTTAGAATAAATTTAAAACTACATTTTTAGAATGACTTTTCTGCATTTTTAAGCAAACCTTTAAAAAAACAGCTTACAAACACACTGAATCAGCAGAGGATTTCCAAATGGCCTAATCTGTTTGCTTTCGAAATTTTATTGAAAGCAGTGAAAAGATCAGTATTTCCACCAGAATCCTGTGGCATGGTTTGGAGATTGGTCTGGGGCCTGCATTTTCTGAAGCAAGGCTTCAACCTTTGACACCTCCTGACTCTGTGTTGCAACAGAAAAATTTTGTGACTCCCCTCTGATCCAGGCTCAGGAAAAGAGAGAGAAGTAACAACCCCAAGTTTGGAAACTCACGACCTGGAACAACTAAAAATTTTGCCTTACTAAAGGCTACAGAATCAGTTGTCCTTTCCTAGAAAGCTATCCAGAGTTTTTCAAGTGCAAGAACACAGACACCTGAGGTCTGATTTTTAAACTGTGCCTTGTTCTTTGCTCCTTGTTGCAGTGTCACACACCAGCACTGCTTCCCTGTGGAAAACCTGGACCTCGTGCCACAAGGAAAGCCTATGCAAACACAAACCAGTACATTTCAGGCATATTTTCTAAGGACATCACTCAAAAGATCATTTTACCTGCCTTGGAAATTGTATTTAGAAGCCTATGAGGCAAAAACAAAACAAAGAAGTTGTGAATTTTTTTAAGTGGGTTTTTTTAAATGGGTTTAAAAGATTAGGGGAAAAACACTGCTATCACCTGGAGCTGTGCCCATTGTGGAAGACGTGGTAGAAAAGTGGTTCAGACCACTTGGCTTGAGCCTATGAAGCTTCTGGTGAAATCAATGAATTTAAAATATCATTTGCCCAGTTCACAGTGCACATCAGTTAATAACTACACTAATCCCTTGCTGCAATGCCATATGCTGTTCTCAGTTAAACTGTGCAAACATGTAGGGAATTTGTAAAGGTGTAAGCATGGAAAAAAGGAATAAAGAATTAGGAGGTTTTGCCTGTTGTCAAAATGCCCAGATAGTTCTGGTTACAGGGTTTGGGAGCAAGGATGATAATTCTGTATCCAAGTGTGAATGGACAGGCCTTATTCAGCTTGGGATTTTTTTTCAGGACCTTTCTTACAACACCTAGAGAGTAAATAAAGATAACACCAACAGAAATAAAGCCCCACACACTACTGAGGTAACTGGCTTTGTGAGATAGCTGATGGGACTACATTATGTTCCAGAAGGTTACCCCTGATCTCTGAGTCTCTGTTGAATATAAGGCTCTTTAATGACCACATTTTTTAATACTGGAATTGAAATTCTCTACGGACAGGCTCCAGAGTTTTGGGGTTTTCTCCTGTTTGGAGCATACCTGCTTCTGGCTGAGCTAAAAAGTCAAAAATTTGAGTCCTATCTGATTTCCTAGTATGCCAAATACTTACATTGTTGATATATAAGAAAAACTTTTAAACAAAACTATTTTGATCTTTTCAGCTAATACTGCTAATTTTAATTTAGCTGTTAATGGGGGACACTACAGTTCAACAATATAAAATAGTATTGGTGTATTTTTGCTATTTGAAGTATCTCAGCTTCAGTCAGACAGTTCAAATCCTTTTACTGCAATCATGGCCTTCCTATATGAATCAATATAAAATAGTATCTAGACACTAGATTTTTAAGTAAAGCTTTTCATTTGTAGCTCAGGACAAGGATTAAAACACACACACACACCAAAAAAATATAAAATGTGTTGTGTCATCTACAACAAGGCATGTATAAAGGGTTGTAGGACAAAGTGAGAAAAATAATTTCAGGATGTTTCAGGACTGGCCACATGCATCAGGAAAAATAAGTGAATGCATTAATTGTACTGAAAGGACATTTCTAGTTGTTACATATTGCTGCTGTTAAAAATTTCTGGTTTATGGTCAGAAAAATCTTGATTTTAGCTTTGATTATGCTGTTGTTTGTATTAAAGCTTTCTTTTGTAATCAAAGGCCTATTTCAAATTACACAAAGAACACACACACCTCTGTCAGAAGGTACCTGGATGCTGCTGTAAGTCAGAAGTACATCTAATGAATTCCCTGGATCTACATCCATAAAAAATGCAAGTGAGATCATGTTAAAATTTCTGGAACCTGAGAAAATAATTTAGTTAATTTTTCATATTTTAACATGAACAAAGGGCAAATGTATTGCACAAGAAATATTATTAAATGACATGAGAAATTGAAGATTACTTTTTTCCAACAATACTATGATATTTTATTCTTTGTGCTACAAGAATCTGTGAAGAATATGCCTCTTAGGTGCTATTCAGTGTGGATTATTTTAAAATAGTTACTTTTTAGTAGGCATGCCAATTGAATGGGCATAACTTAAAGTTCAAATATGCTACCTGTTTTACTAAGGATATTTATAAATATGGATAATTTGGCTTACTAAATTTGGATTCCACTTTGCATTTCTATTCTGACTGTCCTTCTATATGTATGGAAATACTGTATGAATATACTGTATGTATGGAAAATTGCCCAGACAGTTCAATGGAAAATATTTTAAAATTCTTTAAAATGAAAGATGTTCTGTAGTTCTATTATGTATAATTTTCTTCTATAAACTAATGTTCATTCTGTCACTGAAGTATCCTTAAAAATGAGAAATGCAGGTCAACAGTTAATGATGATTATCCTGGGGTTTTGTTTTGTTTTTCTGTTGGAGATCTGAAAGAAGAAATATTATGTTGAGTTGGCTGGGCTTCATGTAAAATGTTTTTCACTTCCCAATAGTATTTCTAAGGTAGCTTCCTCAAAATCCACTTTATTGCGTGGACAGAAAGATTTTATACATCCAGAGCTAATTGAATTAGAGGATCCTTGAAAAACAACTATTTTCCTATCCAGTGGATTAACAGAAAATGATGAAATCCTGATGTATCATTGGAAAGTTGTTCTAACTTAAAAATATTTTCTTTATAGTTTCATTCTTGATGTTCCACAGCATTCACCACTTCCTGCATGGCTTTTCACCGCAGGGAAAATGAGGGACTTTTGGGGGCAGATGTGTTTCCATTACACTATCATAATGCCCCTAAAAATCCTTATTGCTCTTGCAGTATTCTTCCGTATTGCTGGGCCTGGGTGAGAACTTCTTGAAGACCTATCTTATAAATACAGCTTTTCTCTAAAAACATTTTAAAAACACCACTGAGTTTTATTTTGTTTGTCTTATATTATTTTTAGTTGTGTTTACTGTTGCTTAAAATATAAATGGCAAGATACGCAACCACCTGTTGGTAAATAAATGTCATAAGTCATAAATCCAAGGGACATGCTGATAACTGCACGGGATTATGAAGAGGGATCTGTTTTGGCTTAAGAATGAGAGCTTCATTTTTTTGGTACAACAAACTTGTTTTTCACATAAGAATTTAGCATTTATGCCTCTGAAAATATGACAGATGTTTTGCAAACTAACTTGAATGACTGATGTAAGTGAGCCTCACTTAGAATTTTTACTGCTTCTGGAAACACTCATCAGGCCATTTATCAAATGCATAGATCTGTCCAGTACATTTATTTAAATAAAATGCAACAAAATATTCAAATCATTTTTTTATACAGTCTCACAATAAAATTATGATTAAACCTGAAGAAGACATTGTGGGTTGTCTTCTATTCTTAATTCTATGCTTACTCAACTCAAAAGCTCTTTGTGTGGCCATACCTCTTGCTGAGGCTTCTGAGGAAGGCACAATCCATTGGGAATGCCATCATGCTCTCTGGCTCCTCCCATGAAGGGAGAGATGGCCAGGGTTCTCCCAGGCACAGCTTACTTCTGCTAGGTCAGTCTTCCAGTTCTGGAAGGAGAAGGCAGAACATACATATGTAAACATGGTTTGTTGTCTGGTCTTGCAGAGCAATACATCATCAGTTTGATATGTGCAGCGCTGGTAACATTTATTTCAGTAGCTGAGTGTGGGGCACACACAGTACTGTCACTGCTTTGTGTTGAATGTACTCTTGACTTTACTGAATCACTTAACAGAAATTATAGATAGTGTGGCGTGGTCCCTCTGACAGTGTCTGCAAATATCTGTAAATGCCCTTCAAAATATTTGGTGACATAGGAAAGAAACTAACTGGGTGGATACACCAGACCACTTTAATATAAAAGTTTAATCTCCAGGGAGATGCTCTTCTTCATTCTGCTGTAGGAATGTGTCTCATTTTTCACGCAGCAAAATCTTACAGGTCAAGTCACGTACAGGTCACAAAGCAGGCTTGCTGATATGACTGAGGCTCAGAACTACTGCTGCCCAGAGAAATACTACAGTAACAAGAAAATTCCTTTCTAGAAGAACAGACTGAGCAGTGTTGAACAATTTTATATTCACAGGTCAAAATACGATGGAATATGTCCTTCAACATAAAACACTGCAAGATGCAACAGCATTTCAAATTAATGTATAGACAGAGAATAGAAAACACAGTCATTACATTAATTTGAAATTTTCATATCAATATTTCAGTGATCCTGTTTGGACTACTGATCACAAGATGATCCCTAGTACCTTCTGACATAAATGGAAAGTATAACACAGACTGTCTTGAGGCTTATCCAGCCTTTATAATAACAGTTATTTACAAGGTATGAAACTAATTGAACTATTATTATAAGTCATAGAAGTTTTTTTGCATGCTTTTACTCTAAACATGCCAAGGTGTATGCTCTGTATTCTGTTTATTTCCAAGTGACACTCCTAGGTAAAGACTCTGCATCTAATTGAAAATGTTTTTAAAAAAAGCACAAAATAGCAAATATTCTGTGGAGTTCTACAGTATTAAGGACCAATGAAGGGACCACTGCCTGAGCTACAAATTCTATCACCTTTACACAGAAGACTTATGATGAACAGAGTGATTTTTGTAAAAGTCTTTTGGAGGCTATGCTAGTCACAATCCAATGTAAAGAATACTGTAATAGATTTGAGCATTAAAACTGAACTAATTTTCTATTTTTCCTATGTTGCCATCTTATCTTACATATAATCTTTCAAGGATATCCAATTTTTTTTCCTAGCATATGCAATCGTTCATATAATTTCTTGCATTAATAACTTGTTGATTAAACAGCTGATTATTGCATATATACCTATTTATATACACATAGGTTGTCAGAAAAGTTAGATTCTTTCTGAATGTGTGCCCTGTAAATTTGTAAAAATATATTATCATATGACACTACTTTCAAGAGAAATATATGCTTAAAGCAAGCAATCCTGACATTAAATTCAAGAATAGGATCAAAACAAGTAACATGATATTCCAGTCCCTTTTACATTTAATAGGAATCACCTGGCATATAATTGTCATTTTTTTAATACATTTTTATCATTGAAGAATAAGCATTAGAAAATGAGAGTCAAGCACATGGTTTGAGATGTGTACTTAAACTTCTGAATTCAAATACTTGCTTCAAATTGTTTATTTTAAGTATTTAAATCATTTTGGTATGAAATCATATGTCACAAAAATCTTTGGATCCAATATAGCCTCAAAGGAAGGACTGCAAAACTCATCTGTAAAATTGTCCACTGCAACTAACAGCACATTGGGAATAGGCTGTGAGTAGGTTTCAGTATCAAACATTTTGTAAAAGATAATATTTTTCTCTGTTTGGTTTCTTAAATATTAGCAAAGCACAGATTTCTATTAGCCTCTTCTTAGGGATTTTGATTTTTTTAAATTATAGGGCCAAGGGACGTCAACAGGAACAAACAAATTACTCTAAAACTTAGAACAGTAGCAAGTAGGTAATTTTTCAAGTAGAATTTCCACAGTGGAAAAGATATTAGGTATTTGCTATGTGCCAAGAAATGAGTAATATGAGAATACTTTGATTCTTTTACAAAATGGAAGAGCATTAACAGCATTTTAGTTTTTTATTATATATAAAATTCTTTATTACCAGCAGTCTCATAATAGATAAACAAAAATAGAAGAAAGGATGTGCAGTTATTAAATAGGCTGAATGAAAGACACTCATTTATGTATTGAATAAGCCCGTTTCTATCTCAAGTTTTGAACTCTACCTCAGCTGTATGTACACTATTTAAAACGTGATCCAGAGTACAGAACTCGGCTGATCCATTTTAACAGTGTTTATTTATTTATTTGCTATGTTATTTCACTTCTAGTGTGTTAGATCCAGTTTGTTACTGAACTAAGAGAGTGTCAGTTCCACTCCAGCCCATTCTGAGGGGTCCCTGTGCAGCTCCTGTGCCGTCCTGTGGGGAGGTGACTCTGAGCACAGACAGCAGCTCCAGACTGTGGCACAAGGAGGCTGCTCAGAAAAGCTTAGATAAAACCACCTAATTCCACAGTGGGCTAGAGAAAAAGGTGTGATGATGATTAATTTATTCAGTAGTTAGACTTAACGGGTGAGATTACCCAATAAATAATTGACTGAGAAACTGGAATTCTTAACCAAAATTACTTTTTCGTTGACAAATGGGGCTTGGGTTATTTTTTTTAAGGAAAAGCCATTTCAAAATTTTCTGTACTTTTCCAATGACAGACTGTATTTTGTATATTTCTTTAAAAACAAAATCTACAGCCTTGCTATGACTGCTGTCTGAGGCTTTTGTAGATCTCAGTTGTGAGAACAGTGCAAGCACCAAACAAGATTGCAGCAGGTTAATTTTGATTTAGAGGAAGCAATAAGATATTCCTATATGAAGCCAGGGAATCTGTGCTAGTCGTTTTTGGAGTGCTGAACTAATCCATAACAAAATTATCCCATGACTGCAGTTGGCAATGTGGAGAACTGAGTGAGCCCACAAGATCCCCTGACTGTAGTCTGAATCAAGCGTAGACTTTGAGATATAATCTGGGCTTGTACTAGATTTAGTATTTTGATAATACATATAAAATCATCTTATCTTATAGATTTATTCTAACTTGTAACAGAATGTCACAATTTTATTAAGACTCTGTGTGTTCTAAAACCAAAAAGAAAACAAACCCCTTCTTAGAACATATCTGAAATGAAGACTCTAGAGTTCTGGTTCCAGTCTGAGCATCAGGAGGTGCGTGTTGCAGCAGGAGGTTCTGGATTCAAGGTCTAGGCCCTGATTTTCCCTCTGGCCAGTGACAGGGAGGTGCCAAATGCCCTGACCAGGTGAGGCCAGCGGTGCATGTGCCTGCACTTCACCTGTCAGAGAGAGCAATACAGCTGCCACCTGATTCTAGAATGTGTTTTGATCTGGAATAGTCAGCTCTGGCCTTAAACACCGTATCTTTCTGTACCAGCTCCAGTCCTATCTCCCCCTTTCCAGATTATCCAGTTAATAAACAGAAAGTTCCGAGAAGTCAAAAAACCCACCCAAAACCAGAGGTAGCTCCTCCTGTCAGGAAGTAAAGATGGAGCCGCAGCTGCAATTTCCTGATAACACCCCTTGCAAACCCGGAGAGGGTTGTGTGAGTGGACAAATGACACCAATTAGGCAGCGCAAGCCTCTGGATTTTCGTTTAAAGCAGGACCTGGCTGCGCCTAGTGTGCAGGCAGTGTCCCAAAGGCCACCTCTGCCGGCTGTCACAGCACAGGGGCCCGGCTGGACCTGGGGGACTGCAGTCCCTCCTGCAGGGCCGCCCTGTGCCTCTGTCCTTTGCTCAGCAAGCACAGCACACTGCACTTTGTTATTGCTAGTCTATGGTTTCACTGACTTTTTCTCAGATGTCACCCACAAGATAGCAAGAGATGGTGAACTGCTGGATCTTGAGTTTCATCTCACCCAACTCCCAAAGAGAATTTCCTTCATCACTGTCAATAATGGAACTGAAAAACTGCCCACAACTCTGTTGACAAACAAAACAGTTATGCTTTAATGACACAGTTTCAACTGATTTCACTAGAAGCTAATATGAGCAGAGAATTATTTATTATATGTACCCTTGAACAGCAAATCCACAGAGTATATTAAAATTCCTGTAATAGCAAATTTAACTCACTGCACAAAAAAAAAAATTAACTTTTCTAATGACGCACGATATTGGGTGGTATTGACATTATTATATATTTTCATCTTTTTATGGAGAGCAGAAAAATGTATTTTCCTATTCTGCCTACAGAACACTTGAAAATAACTAAATATTTTATGCTAAGGCACTAGCCTATGGCAATATTAGAGCAGAAACATGGAGTTTTAAATATATTTGGGAGATGGGGACTTCATTTCTGTTCTGTATGATGATTCTGCATCTTCCAGTCCTGATGTACGTGTTTAACACTCGGGTATTAAAAGGTTGGAAAGACCAAATAATAAATTAAAGGTGCTGTACCTGATTTTGAAATATTTTTTAGGCTGTAAATAATTATTGCCAATCTTTAGCATCAGGAATACAGAAAAATTTGGACTGAGAAAAGGCATGGGAACAAAGAAAATAGAAGAGTAAAGCAAAGTTTCTAGACTTCAGGCCACTTGCCAGCTACTTCTTACATCCACTTTCAGTTCTGCTGCTTGCTTTGACTGTAGCAAAAAGATAAACATTTTCTTGTTGCAAGTTAACAAACACTGCCATGCGTGACAAGTTGATAAGGGGTATTACGAGTTGTATCAGGAGTTTATTAGTTCATTTGAGCAAGAGATAAACATGGTAGAAAGTTCTGATGTGCTGCTGAAAAATTAAAAATAACTAGTCAATGCCAAAAACAGTTCAGCTGAAAAAAAGGTTTCTATTCTTAGTGACTAGAGCTTTCATTGCTATAGACAATTTTTCCTTCTGTTTGTAGTAAATTCCTCAATGTGTCTGCCTCCTTTGCAAACTTACACCACTGCTCTGAGTCTATATTTTCAGG